CAGGGCGATACTTACAGTAGCATTAAGCTTGAAAACGTGGTGTTCAAAGAGATCTTAAACATACGTGAACGGATTCTGAATCTTCACAAAAAATCGAAACCGCAACCAGTGGAACGAACGAGTGAACCGATTCATATACAAATTTCAAACTAATAATGATGAATAAAAATAATTTTAAGTATTCCAATTATGGACTTTGATTTCATTTTATTGCCGAAATTTCTCCAGAAAAGAAAACTGCAATTTTTTTAGTTATGATTGCGCGAGAGTGATCTTGTTTCATTTTTCTGTTCAATTGAGTACACAACTACCTATTATATCATTTTTAAATTAATTTTTCTTTTAAAATTTATTTTTATCAGGTTTATTTTCGATTTGTCTTCCTAATTTGGCTGTCATGTTTACTTCAACTGCAACAATCTGACGTCCCGGAGGTAAAGCATACATCATTCAAACTCAGTGGTGGAATAATTTGATCAATTAATGTTAATTAAATTGTAAAGTATGATATAAAAGAAGATCAACTCAAATCTAAGATCCCACTAAATGAGGTGTTTTAAGGGAATATCGAATTTTCTCTCAGGAAACCATTTGCAAGCAAAAACCGGGTCTAATTTTCTGTCAACAGCTTTTAGGAGGCTCTTTGTAAGCAAAGAAAGCGGGCCCGAGGAAAGAGAAAATTAAAAAGCGGCCTCCTGTTCCGGCAGGGAAAAGAGGTACAGCGATTCGCAAAGCAGAGAGAATAAATAAGAGTTTCTTAGAATCTCCATTGTGCCTCCTCTAAGTGATTTTTCCTACCCTCATCTTTCTCTAATTCTCTCTTTTAAGGCTAATTCTTACCTTTGGACCAGCAGACACTTCCAACTAACAATTTTTCTGTGCTCTGTAATCAAATAATCTTCTCAGCTCCAATTTGAGCATGTAAATTGTAGTAACAAGTATTGCTCAGTTTTCTAGTTTCCTTCGTTTTCTTTTTGTCTTTTTTTTTTTTTTTTTTTTTTTTTTTTTTTTTTTTTCATTGCGCGTCAAACTGGGGTGGCGTCAAGAAATATTGTGATTGGATGATTTTGTTTTTGTTTTTTGTTGTTTTTTTTTTTTAAAAAAAAAAAGCAAAATAATTCTTATTAGCTTCCTATGTGTTTCCTTCCTTGAGCGATGCAGACAAGACAAGATGTAACTTCATCAAAAACTCTGTAACATGTTTTTGAGATCACGAGATAATTCCCTATACCTCTCAAAGTGAGTAAGTTGTTACTGTAGTAAAGTAGCGTGTTGATGGTCGAATGGCATGAATCAGTCACGAATACTAAGCAGCTTCATTGTTGGCGTCAACAAATATAGCCCTGTCGACGGCTCGCCAAATAAATTTATGTTCATCAAGTTCTTAGAGGTGTGCCTATAAAAGTAAGCTTGGTAAAATTTCAAACCTCTTTTTCGCTTGTTTCATTCTGACAACAATTTTTTCTTTTTCGCTGAGTCTGACCAAATTTTTCTCTTGATATTAAAAGTAAAATATTTAAAGAAAAGACGTCCTTGAAAGCTTTTTTTGCACGAATTGATCTTTTCCACGTTCAAATTACACTTCATAAATTTGATGTAAAAATGGAAGTCAAACCTAACGACGCAACCGAAAGTCAGATAAAAAACCGAGAATACACATCAATCTCCTCGAAGAAAATCAGGGATCAAAACTTCACTGGGTAAATCTGATTTCCTTCCCAGAGGAAAAAGTTTTCAATAACTTACTTGCTTCAGTAAACACACGACTCGTACGCCTAAAACGAGGTCTCAAACTTGAGACAATTTATCATACTTTCATTGGTTTGCATTTCTATCAAAACTTTTTCCTATACATTAGATAAAGCTACGGTTGCCAGACACATATCACAGGCTACGATCGTAAGATTACCTTTAAATTATTCATGTACTTTAAAGAAGGCTGTAGGGGAAGGGATGTTCCCCTCAGATCTCGAACACTAGAGAGGGTTAGAATTAAAGCATCACCGCTTTTTCTAAAAAGTTTTTTAGGTATTTTACAGTATCACAATTTATGCTCCTTCATTACGCAGAGTACATGGACCATTTTCTAAAATCAATTCATAAGAAAGATAGGGAAAAGAGTGTGTGAAGAGGGAGGAGGGGTTGCATCCACGTGTATAATTTAAACTATATTCTTAAGTAATAAGTGAACCACTCGACTAATTCTAGCTCTCTTTCCTAGGCAATAATGTAGGAATAAAAACAGAATGAGTCTCATTGTTTGTTCAAAAAGATAGGAATATGATTTTGCATGTGAAGTTGGCATTCGGTCTGGTTTCCCTCATCTTCGACGTAAGAAAAAACAAAAAAAAACTAGTTGACTTGTGTTAAATAAAAAAATGCTGAGTAAAAGTCCAACAAACAGAGAAAATTATTTCATCGCAGAACATGCTGACGTTTAAAGTGCTCAATGTGATTGAAAGAGAAGCTGGTTTTTGTGACGAGAAGAAATTAAATCCTTCACGTGAACGAATGCTGGGAATCAGAAAATGTGTATCATCATGTTTGATATTATGGCACCCTGTCGAGTGGTTCAGTAGAAACTCCGTCAAGAGAAATTCAGTTAATTGAAAACCAAAGTGTACGATAAGAATCACTCCAATCTTATCGTACCGTTTATGGAGTAATCAGCATTAACAAAATGTATTTAAATTTGTGAATAAATTCATCACGATTCACGACATAAAAGTGTACCTCAGCCCTTCCAAGGCCGCAGTATCTCCCAGATATAAAGCCTAAAACAACATACGAAAAAAAAAAGTCTACCTCAGAAATTAGTGAAATGGAAAAAGAGGATTTGTCGAGCAATCTTATCGAAAGCTCATCAATATTTCGTAAAGTTTGAATTTTGAATGAGCTTTAACTTGTTGTCAAAAATTGCTTCCGTAAAATTTGACAACACTCCATATGTGTTCGACCCGCATGTCGTGTGCACTTATTTCTCAGGGCGTTTCAGGCATGTATGGGCGTATTTATGCTAAAAGGAACTATGTACGTAAGGTTTATGTGTAACATAGTTCCTTTTAGCAGAAAAACTCCCTTATTTCCCATGTGTCTGTAATAAGCAGGCAGTCGGGATCCTTTGAGAGAAGTTTCAGTCTTGAAGCAAGGCTCTCATAACTACAACGTCTCTTTTACAAAGGTTTGTTTGTGTTGACTCAACTCTACGGTCTCAACTCCATGAGTTTACGCCATTCAAAGAACATAAGACCCCGGAGAACCAAACGTCTTTAGCTGTCCTGGGCTGAACTTATCTTTGAAATAATGTGTAAACACTGTCCAATGGACAAAATAAACAAACAATTTAAAATAACGTCATAAAATCGGTACTTCCACTTCATGAATAGACCGAGTTTTTCAGAAAGGAATTAACCCGCATTTTCGAAAAAAATGAGTTGAGAGTGTTTTCGAGTTCCACTAGCCGTGTGTTAGGCTGTGACAAGGTCTCAAAATTTAAGGATATTCAAGGACTTGAAAATTCGAGAATAAATACAAGTACACGTTCATTCAGGGACTTCCCAAAAAGCCACAAACCATGCAAACAAGGATTCTGACGAGCGATGAAGAGACATTAATGATCGAGATTCGATATTTGCTCATTTGAAGCTATGGTAAAGAATCGATTATTAAGGTGTTCGTTGAGAATACCGAGTTCATTGATCCTTTTTCATTGGTTTAAATGGCAGATAAATCGATAAATCGCAAGCACGCCTCACCACTACTAACTCGCCATTTTTAGGGCTTGACATTTTAACAGATTACTCCCTGGACGCGGGAAAAAAATCAACCATTATTTCGAGGTCAGTTTCCTAATTAAAGGAAATACATTTAGAAATCTGCAACCTCGCAAATCGAGATAGAGGGTTCTTGAACATGGGCATGCACATAACCATCGAATTCGTCCCTTGCTTTTGTCACAACCACCTAATTGGTATCGTCCTTAAGCCAGTCCGAAATCTGAATGTTTATAAAATGAGCTAATAATCTGCTGCTAATGCTGGAATGAATCTTATGCAGGAGACAGTTTGATAGCTTCCGGAATCAGGGGCCCGACATTAGCTGGAGGTTTAATTCGTCGCTTGGCTCACATAAGGGCGTAACTACACATTGAGATGAGCCCGGAAAATCATTGAGTTGTATGGACGACAGGGCTCATCGTAGAAGTGTAGTTACGCCCTTATTTCACGAGGGCGACGAATTGAGAGATTTCCTTGGTTCTCTCCGATAAAAGGCGGCCATTGAGGATGATAAAAAGACTCTCAGACATCGCATGATTTGGATCAAGTCCAAATCCAAATTGAAATTTCCATCCATTCAATCCTCTTCATTCCGCATCAAAAATTGCTCGCGAAAGGGCCCCGGCCCCCCTCCTGTGTGTTTTCTGTAGCTACAGGTCCTCGTTAACTCGAGAGCATTACCATTCACGAGGAGGGATAAGTAATTTGCCCACCAAACGGAAAACATGCGAGGCCCCCTCTC